TGTTAACTATAGTACAGACCATATAAATACTTCCTTTCTATTTATATGGTACAGACATATGGTCAGATCAGGCAACCTTGTTGTTAGTCACTCAGAATACTGGATAAACTCAAGCATTTAAATATTTTGAATAAAAACATTTATAGACACTGAAGCTGCGACTATGATATTTTGTGGTTGCTTATATTCTTGTTCGCCCTTTTAATCTTGTCACACTTTAAAAATATGTTAATGTAAGGGTTTTATGAATGGAAGCTCAGGTAGCCACTATAAAATATAAATATGCTCTTTTACACTGTAGATTATGTTGAATTTCAGTCCACTTGAAATGTGCTGTTTCCTTAGTTGCAGAGTTCCCATGTCACACCATGGTACTTAAAGAGAACTGCTAGCCAGAGGGAGCGACTCACAGCTAAAGCAAGGGCGCCATCTTCTGGTCGATGTACCAAAACACATTCCTGAGGTAAACCCTTTGTGTTTAGATGCTGTGAAATTAGATGCTGTGAAATTGTAAAGGCGTTTACAAATACGTCACATCTAATTAGTCAAGTTTTTTTCCCCGTTGATAATCATCCTGAACTTGCAATCCATTTCAAACTGAGCCGTAGAGAGATGAATTGTGTGCTTCAGCGCATCTTTTATTTTTTTTCTTGATCGCCCCCCCCCCCACCTCACAAAAACACAAACACAAGCTCGTCTTAATGCACATGAAAGAGGCCCTCCAGAGAAATGGATGTGGGATCAGACACTATATCATGTAGATACTGTACCTGGTAGTGATGTCAATTACAAAAATATTCCTGTTATTTTTAGTGGCTGCATTTCACTACCAATGGGTCACGTTCATTAGGGCACGCAACTGAAAACTTTGTTCAACATTTCTCAATGGGAGAGAAAGGGGTAGTCCCTCCTTGTTCAGTCCATTTTCTTCCATTTGGTGCCTGATAAATATGACCCTGGTGTAGCTACACACGTTGTCAAGCTGGCGTCTTTAAGGTATCTGATACAAACTGAGATGTGCGTAACTGGTCTACAATCCATGACCATGCCTAATGTGGACCGTTTTGGAGTGAGCGGTCCTCCTTGTCCAGAGCTTGACTCTACTATTTGCAGCATTACTCAAGTTTTCCTGAGTCAACACAGACAGATGGAGGTAAATGTCTGCTTCAGATGTTTGGTTTGGATGAAGCATCAGTATATCATTCTGTGTCCATGATATAACCCAATCAGTGGAGACTGGTGGGAGGAGCTATAGGAGGGCGGGCTCATTGTATTGGCTGCAATGAAATTAATGGAACGGAGTCAAATGTGATTTCCATGTGGTTGATACCTTGATTCCATTCCAGCCATTACAATGAGCCCGTCCTCCTGTAGCCCCTCCCACCAGCCTCCTCTGAACCCAATAAAAGTCAAAACCCCTTCATAGATTTTCCCTTGGTGTCTTGGCTACTCACTCACAAAGCCAGTTGTATGTTGACAACCCCAGCATGTTTAGGCTTGTCTCTAGGACCATGTACCGCTACTATCAAACACAGTGAGTAGATGGGGTTCCTCACCTAAAGCCCCCCCCCCCCCCCCCCCCTTTCTTTGCGCCTCTTCTCTGATCCTTCCTCTAAACTCTCTATCTTTAATGATGATTTGGCTCAGAGAGAGATCAAGGGAAGAAGAAGATGATGAAAGATAAAAGGGGTGTTCAGTTATTGAGCTGCTTCTCTAATCACCTTCTCTTTGCAGGGAATAATTGTATCATTCTCCTCCCTTCAGCCCCCAAATGTTAATTTGACCAATTGAGAAATGCACTCATGTCTGAAAGGTGCGGTTGCTTGAGAATAGCTGTATGTCCTGCAGCCTGTCTATAGGCTGCAATAACAGTGGAGTGGAAGTTTGTATTGGTGTCTGCCAGGGACACCGAGAGAGGGAAGAGGAAGTGAAGTTAGTGAAACATTTATTGGCTTTGACCTGCAGATCCATTATCTTGGCTGGCCTTCAGCTCCCCACTGTAAAAGCCTACAATTTGTGTTGCTAGGTAGACAATTCAACCGCTCTTTACTCTCTTGAAATGGATACAGAGATGTCATGAATCGCATTTGTGCGTCATCATTATGTCTTAAGTATTTTAGAAATGATTAGGATATGGTGTTGGATCTATTAATTCCATTATCAAACCAGTCAGCAGATTCAAAAATTCTGCCTATTCTATATGTCCCGACCCAAACACGTGTGTGATTTTGGGGGAGGGGAGATGTGATAGGCTCCATTGTTCCAATAGCGTTCAGTCTGGTTTAACTAGGCTAGAATGTGAAGGTTAAAGAGGACAAGGTTAGACAGCAGCACTGCAGTAAGTGATTAGATTAGATCCACCTCACTGTGTCCTCACCCAGCAGAGGAGGGAGAGGATTCAAATGGATCACAAACACAGTGGTGCCTCCTGGGTCTTCCCATCACTTAGTTTTCATCTACATATTCAATATGTGCCAGTCATATTTTGTGTGTTTGTGCATGTACTTGTGAGTGTGTGTCCTGCCGTCCTCTCACTTATTTTCCATCTAGGTATTCCTTCGGCAGGGCAGTCAACGACTCATCGGCTAATTACAGTTACACCGTCGTAAAAAGCCAGAGCGGTAATTTATATTAATTATACAGGAATGAGTATAATAGTCTGAAAAGCCACGGTTTGACACGCTGTACATAACACGGCGTAAAACAGTCAGGAGCATGTGATGGGCTAGAGCCTTGTAATTTATCGATGCTGTGTACGGTAAAAGAGAGAGTGCCTGTGTGTGTGTGTGTGTGTGTGTGTGTTGGGAGTGTGTGAGTAAGAGTCAATACATTATCATCATCTGCAAGCTTAAATTAACTGCCTTAATTTTGCTGGACCCCAGGAAGAGTAGCTGCTGTCTTGGTGGCAGCTAATGGGGATCCATAATAAATACAAATACAGAGTCTTTATGTCACGGTGTGTGGCTGGTGGCTGAGTTATATACTTCCCAATGGCCTGCCCTAGTCAAAGACACAAGGCTGGGGAAAACAACAATGGTCCAATACTCTACACAGGGGTGTCAAACATACGACCCTCGCGGGTGATTTGAGTAAAAACAATATGTAGTTTTGACAGAGAGGAAATACAACCAATTTTCAGTGCGGCGCTTCGGACCTCATTGAAGACCGAATGTGGCCCCCGGGGGCAAAATGAATTTGACACCCCTGCTCTACACTATATAATATTTCAACAAATAGGACCTTATTATGACTGTGTTCAAGTCTTACGCTAGAATGTGTAAGACCCAGATACATTACACACACCAGACCTTAGTACTATACCCCAATGTATCTGTGTTGCACCAGGAAAACATTTAGTCCAGTCAGAAATGAATCAACACAGAGAGAAAGTGTGGACATGAGCCATACAGGCCTGTCTGTGTGCAGGGGGTGGGGGGCTGGTATTGTGGCCATGTGTGGAGGAGGGGTAGCTCCTTAAAGGTTGTTTGGAGGAGCTGTACTGTGGGGTTCTCTGCTCATCGTCTCCTCACGTGTGCGTGTGCAGAGTGTGTGAGCTGGGAGTGTGTGTGTGCGTGTGCAGTGTGTGTGTGCGTGTGCAGAGTGTGTGAGCTGGGAGTGTGTGTGCGTGTGCAGAGTGTGTGAGCTGGGAGTGTGTGTGGGTGTGTGCAGAGTGTGTGAGCTGGGAGTGTGTGTGGATGGCCATGTGGAGGAGGGGTAGTAAAGGGGTCCTGGGCTGGTCTCCTCTTACATTTTACATTACATTTTAGTCATTTAGCAGACGCTCTTATCCAGAGCGACTTACAGTTAGTGAGTGCATACATTATTTATTTATTTATTTATCATACTGGCCCCCCTCTTATCAACAGCATCACTACAGTCTAACATGCTTTATGGCTCTGGTCGCCATGGCGGCCATCACAGGCCCTGTTTGTTTATGTATTACCATAAAATAGAAAATCATTGCTGCTCTGCTCTGTAGAGAAGCCAGAGAACACACCACAGCACATTCTCTCTGTCCTGGTCTCCTCAGCATTAACTCAACATCCAATGTATGTTTTTGCAAAACAAAAAGATTGTGTTACTATCAATGACATAAGATGATGATCAATCCCTGAGGCAAATGTTTAATTCCGTGTTGATGTATGTCACCAGGACCTTAGCTGGTTTATTAGCAACTGTTGATCCTTTCGGTGGGAACGTTACATAGGTTTGTTAGGATAACACAGTTTTTCCATCATTGAATAACAGTGCTTTTGCATGAACATATTTATCCATCCATCACATTTCATTTGCTTCTTAAACTATGTCAGATACATTTTCCAACACGTTGAAAGGTTCATGACATGCATTATCAAGGGTGTAGTAAATCGACAAAATACTCCACCTCGTTGCACTACTATTTCCCTATGCCTTTTGCAGTAGTTCCTATGGTTGTTTTTCCCATTCTCTCTCTCTCTCGCTCTCTCTCTCTCACTGTCTCTGTCTCTCTCAATTAAATTCAATATACTTTATTGACATGGCAAGTTAAATTACTTACATTGTCAAAGTATACATATAACAAAAATGGTGGGACCAACAGCAATAATAATAGTAGTAGTGAAAATGGGATTACCATTAACAGCAACTACAACAACAATATTAATGAGAATAACAATATATTAAAGCAATAGTAGTCTACCAGTCTCAACATGACTGAGAAGCCACATGACATGGTATGAAAGCCAAAACAAAACTAAATGGGAAAGAATATTGACATTACATTACACTTTTCACTGGCTGTCCCTCAGGTTGTGGCAGGAGGACACATTTTGGCTTTTATAGTTTCAAATTCTTTGTACTGAATGATAATTTTGGGAAATAAATATTCTCTTAGGTATGAGTATTTGTCACAGTGTAGTAGGAAATGCAGCTCTGTCTCTACCTCTCCCCTGGAGCAGAGTGAGCACAGCCTGTCCTCTCTGGGCAGTCAGGTTTGCCAGTGACGACCGGTCTCTATAGCC